TATAAAATATTGGAAAAATTTGATGTAATACTTATATTTGAAACATTTATATTGATTTTAAATAAATATAAAAATAAAACAAGTTTAAATTTCTCATAAATACAAATTTTAAAAATAGGCAGAAAACTAAAAGTGTAAAAGAAATTCTAATATTAAACAAAAGAGGTTAAGTAAATATTAAATAGAAATGCAACATGTAAATAAAATTGTTTTTAAAATTACAAATATTAATTTACTATAATTTACTAATTTATATATAATTAAAAAATAATATAATTTTTTTAGGTAATATATATTTAAAAAATATAGTAAATTTTATTCCATCTTAAGAATATATATATTAATTTTATCATTTTCTTAGAACTAGAAATATAATAATATTATAATGCGTAATATTGTTAATTAATTTTAATATATTTATTTTTAATAATACAAAAAAACTATAAAATTCTATTTATATATATATAAATATATATATATATATATAGTATTATAGTAATATAGATTATTTAAGATTTTGATTATATATTTAACATTATACAATATTAAATATATTTTTATAAAAAATTTAAAAAAAAAACGAAATATTTATTTTGTTAAAAGTTTTAATTTACAATTAAGTATTGTATTATATATAAAAATAAAAACATATTAAATATAAATATTTAATAAATTTAACTATTCTATTAAGATATTACATGTAAGATTTATATATTATATTATGTAATAATTATTCACCTAATTGTATTCTTGTAAACTCCATCCCTTATATTTTGAAGACAACATATTACAATAAACAAATATTTTATAAATTGTGAGAGATTGAGTTATGATTGACTAGGTTATGTTTATATCGACCTGACATTGTTGCCAGATTTTTTTTATTATGGTATAAAATGTAAAACAATGAATAGTTATTATTATTTTATATTATATATTATTCATATCAATAATATTTAATAATTAATATAATAATAGCATATTCTTTTCATAATTCATATTCTTTTTAATATGATTATAAAACAAATGAACAACAAAACTTTAAAATACAAATATTTTTAGAAATATTTTTACATGATAGAAAAACTATTCGTGGTTTAAACTTTTAAAAACACTTGCCATAATGATGTATTGATCAATTGTGATGCAAAATATCTATCTTTTTCAATCAGATTGAATATATATTATTATAAATATATAATATTTATAATAACTATGAGTTTACAAAAAAATTCTTGATAATTCAATAATATAACGATAATATTCTGATATATTTCATAAAAATATATATTTTAATATTTTTAATGTTAAATAAATTAATTTCTTTTTTAATAATTAATTTCCTTTTATTTTAGTAAATAAATAATTATTTGTAAAAACAAAAATTTTATTATTGTATATTTTGCATTATTATATTTTGTAATTCTAATATTTGTATTATTTTTTGTATCAATTATACAAAGTTATATAAAATAATAATTCAATTCGAAAACGGATAATAAATTTATATAAAATTTATGATAGTCAAATATTTTGGTAATATGAAAACACACCTTTGGGCGTTTCAATTATCTTACGAGGAACAAAAAGTGTGATCGATACGATCCAACGGTAACGATTAAAATGAAACGTAAACGTAGCTAAGCTCCTGGCTCCAAAAGACGCATGATGTCTGTCTAGTAGTCATGTCCAATATGGCGTGTATATTGTGAGTTGCATTAACGTGCAGGTAAGATTTTATCATTTTCGTTTTTTTTACATCTGATAAATAAATTAAAAAATGAAAATTTCTGCATTTTACAATCTCAATATTTCGAATTTATATATATTTTTGCTTATAGATGGTTAACAAACTATTAATGAAACTTTTTACTTAAAATATGTGAACTTTGTCAACCTTTGTACCTTCAAGGTCCGTTTGCTGAGGTGCATTTATGATGACAGATGTGTCGTGTAAAAAACATGTGTCTTTGATCGAATTGTTTCACGAAAATTCTAATTTCGCGTAAAACAAAAAAAAATTGATTTTTAAAAAAGATTTACTGCGCGATAAGATTCATTGTTGGCAACTGTTATTTAAATCTGAATGGAATAGTATATAATTAGAAGAATTGATGAAAAATTTTAGAATTATAATTCATTAATTAATTCGTAATTAAATCAACAATTTTAAAATTATAATTTTTTAGAATTATGTGAAATCATATTTTTTAAAATTGAAATTAAATAAAATTCATAATAATTTTGCATATAGTAATATGTGTAAATGTTGGTGAACATATTTAAAAATGGAACAAATACAATTGAAATTTTAATTTCAAAAGATTTAGAAATGTAAGTTTAATTTATATATTATAATATAAATAATATTTTATAAAATAGATTAAAAATATATATAAATAAGAAGCATTGTATCAAGGCATATACTCCTAACATATTGATGATTTAATCATTTTTAAAAATGCATTTTTTTCTTTAATTACTATGATTTCTTGTAATCTAATAAATACATAATTTTTAAAGTAACTTAAAATAAATTGATATAATTATATAGATAAATTAATAAATTAAATAAAATTAAAAAGGTTAAAATAAAATTAATTTTCTTTCTACAGGTTCTGTTCCTGCTTCTACTGCAATTATTTTTTGTGAATAAAGGGAATGAGATAAATATAGAAAATTTGTTGTAAAACAATGTACAATGAACTACGGTGGGAATATGCCAAATTGGCACCAATATAATACCTCACAAACAAATGAAGTTTCATCTTCTACGCAAAATATAAATTCTGGTCACCTTACATTCATTCCTGGTGTCAGTCCTACATTAAATCCAATTAGCCTTAACTCAGAGGGCCTAAATAAGCATCAGAATGATGCAAATTACAATTCAAGAAATTTTCAATCTTTTAACAATGCCTCAAATGGTTCAACTATTCCAAATAATAGCCCTCTTGCATCTATGGTGCAAATGCAGAATTGCATTGGCCATTATGGTTCTTCAAATACAAGAAATCCTATGTTAGATAACATAAATGCTTCTGTGGATCCTAGAAACACTACAATTGGAACTATAAATGATGAAATAGGATACAGAAGTAATCAGGTGCCTTTCAATGGACCTATAGGTCATCTAAATGGACCAAACTGCAATTTAAATGCACCTTCTGGACCTAGAACAGGGCCTGGGTCTATCCCTGGACCTAGAACTAATGGACTTGGAACCAATCCTAGCACTGGAACTGGTCCCAGTTCTATGTTTGGGCCTAGTTCCAGACATGGACCGGCACTAGGAACTGGATCAAGCTCTGGAAATATGGGACCAAGAAATACTAATATTAATTCACTACCTCCTGGGAAACCTGGCCCCTCTTCTTCGTTTATCCCTTGTAAAGGTTTGTGTTGCAATTCAGATCCTAATATTAATTATCAGCAGTGGGAGAAGTTTGGATCCTATCAAAATAATACATCATATAGAGATAATGTACATTCATCTAATTATCAGATTGAAAATAAACATTTTGGAAATAATTGTAATTTTAGAAAAGATAATTTAGAAGGTAAAGAAGTAATGAGTCCCGTATTACCTAATGCGCCCACTATAGATCATAGAAGAAATTTTGCAGATTATAAATATCATAAGGATCATCTAATGCATAGAAATTATGTAACATCTTCAGGAATGTTTCACAATTATTCCATGCAAAATTACAATTATTCTACAGAGCATCAAAAATATCCATATCCAGTAAAAGAACATACAAGGACGAATAATATGAACATGCCGAATTCAGGAATACTTAAACATCAAGAACAAAATTTCATTCCCCAACAAAAGTTCAATAATAAACAATTCCAATATCAGAATGGGAATATGTTACCCAAAGGGATGCCTAATTTAAACGTAAATACAAATATGGCATCATCCTCTCAAAATCCATATTTTAATTCGCAATTTCCAAGAAACATTTCTGCAGAAATGCCTCACGAATGTCAAGAAACCACTGATAATGCTGCAATGATAAACAGAATGCAGAATACCTTTATGCACAACTCTTCTCCACAACATCAAGTATATCAACATAAAATAGCAATGCAAAAATTTTCAATAGAAAATCATCTTAGAGAACTGAGCAGGATACCTGGCTATCAATCCCATCCCAAATATAAAGAATGTATTCTCAGATACAGAGAAGTATTAAAATTACAACAATCATCTGGATATCAAAATCCAGTTCAACAAACCCCACGTGTAGCAACACCGATAAACACAATGCCTCCTATTAATTTGCAGTTCGATCAGAATGGTATGTTGATAAATTCCAATTATCTACCGGATAATTTTCCCAAATTGCAACATGCACCGATCATGGAACAAACATCAAAAGACATTGATAAACAAAATAAAACTCAAGATATTGGTATAGTTAACGAAAAATGTCAACAATCGCAGCAATCAGACCAATTAATGATTCCCCAGCAAAGCGAGCATGTTCCTTCTTCTTGTACAGAGACATTTCAAAAGCAGAATCAATTCTCGATACACGAAGATTTCAATCAAAATCAATTAAAAGTACAAACGAGTGAGAGTCACAGCTTTAATACTTTAAATACTAACACTAGCAACGAAACAATAATGCAGCAAAAAACTTCGAAAGAGTTTGCCAATAAACCGGATTTGGACGTCAGACAATTCTTGGCTAATTGGGATGAAACTGACGATGAAGATGGAACGACTAACTTGCCAGACACCGTTCTAAGTGAGACAACCCCGGTCGTTGTGGTAAGTTACGAAAATATTGATCTTTCATCGAAAACAACACAAAATACAGAAGAAATATCGAGGAAAAATAATTTCTGTTCAAATGATACCATTGAAAATAACAAAGAAGGCGAAACGAATGTAATAACAGCCCAAGATTGTTTGACGATATCCTATTCAGCGTCTGACAATTCTCAAATTGTAAAAACTTCCAAAAGAACTATAGGAGAAGGCGTTGTAAAACCTGGAAGCATTATACACTGTATCAGCAACGGTCCCGACGACATACCTACGATTCACATAGTGGACAATTTAGAAATAAGCAACATCCTGGGGGCGCCTGATGATCAGGTTATACAAACATTGGAGAAACAGAAGACAATACCATTTTTCAGGGAATCGAATAATGATGACGAAACAGATGCGATAGTACGCGAAAGTGCAGAAGAGCAGGAGACCAAGAGCGACACAACTCCTATACTGCCTACTCCTGATTATACTCCGTCTTTGGATAATATTAATAAAAATACAAGTGTAAAGAACTCGAGCATATCCGAAACTATGAAAACGGTTACAATAAACACAAATCACGAATTAAGGGTGTTATCAACGTCGGAAAAGGAGAATCTAGACGTTGGTGATAACATAGAATTGAAGAAACAGCACAGTTTCGAAGAATCCCATAATCCTGACGATATTAGTTTACCAGATTTGCCAACGTCCGAATGCACACCGATATCTACTACGTTGAACACCCCTATTCATTCCGACACCGAGGAATCATCGTCTCGTAACATAGAGGATTTATCAATATCCACAAATCCCATAGAGGTGATGCAAAACAGTCCAGTAATCAGTTTTACACAGTTAAATAGCGAGGATAAAGTGAAGAATAGATCTCTCGATACTTTGGATCTCGAGTTTCAAAAGGAAAATAATAATAATAATAATAATCATCATCATCATAAGAGCAACGAGATCGATACCTCGAACGAACAAGAGGTAAGCGATTTTGATTTCTCGAACAATTCTAAAACAAAATCGAACGAGATAACGAGAAATAGACAGACGAAGAATTTTGAGGTTAACAGTTCGAGAAAGAAAGCGTGCCTGATGGACGGCAAAGAGGAGGATGCAACGAACACATGCGATGTTCTAACATCCATCGAGTATGAATCGGAGGTTGAGGATTACGTGCACGAGAGAAAACACAAAAGAAGATCGATAGAAACGACGATAAGAGGTGGAATTCAAAAGCGTGACACAGGCGATAACGTCAATTCTAATGCAAATTTAAGCCGAACGATGGCGTCCGACGACGAGTCGCAAGCATTGAAAAATGATAAAGAGTTGTACAGAAGGAAACGGATAAAGGATGTGTCAACAAACACTTCCTGTTCAACGTCCTGTGAGCATGATTTAAACATTAAAAAAAGGATAAAAGAGGGGGCTGGTTGGAAGGACAAGTGTACGGATAAATATTCGGATAAGAATGTCGGATCTCAGAAAAAGGATATCGATCATTCGAAACAATCGAAAGTCTCTGATACTATGAGAAAGTTAGACGATTCGAGCTCGATCGAAAGTGAAGAGCATTCCGTGTGCCATATGACTTCTCAATGCAAACACTGTTCCGTTGCTGTGATAAAGGATAACGTTGCCTTAAACGATAAGAGAACACACGGCAGCGCGGACAGAATGACGAGTTTAAAGGAGTCCAAGAATACCAAAGAGCTTCCCGAAGAGACGGAAAATAGAAAGCACGTATCCGGCAAAACGACGTTCCACGAGAGCATTCAATCTCAAACTTCTAAATTGTTGCAGAAAGATTTGAAAACGACGGTGGACGGGGATGTCAGATACACCGCCGAGGAGATGCGTTTACTGAAAGAGTATAGGAGAACGAAAGAGAAGATGTATCAGGATACGCGTGACGAGAAGAAGAGGTTAAAAATAGGTGGTCACAAAGCGAGATGTTCGAGGCAGAGCACCGAGATACCAGGGATACCGCGCAAAGCGTGTCTGGAAAATTCAATATCTTCTATAGTAAATTCGGGGAATCTCGTGACGCAGGAGGAGGCTAAGAAGGGCCATCCGAAAAATTTAGTAAAAAGCCCCGATTTTGGTATTCAAGTGGCGAACGTGAACTTGAAGATTAAGGATAACGATATCGGTAAGAAATTAATTCTCGGCGATAAATCATCAGGCCACCATCAGGAACACGCGAAAGATTCTTTGGAGGGAATCCAAATTGAGATCAACGTTTCGTGCACGGACAGAAACGCGAAGGGGCAGGAGCAGCGATTGTTGTACGACGACCATAACCTGTACGAGATCCACGATCCCCCTTCTTTTTCCAACACGTTGGAACGTAGATCGCACGCCAATCAGGAGAACGATACGAAATTATCCGACAGAGATCAGGGATCATGTGAAAAATTCGATGATCCCTCGGTAGATGCTATCGAATCGAGCCAGGATAAAAGCGAAGGTGAGAAAAATTTGAGGGCGGTGAGAAAGGATGGGGGGAGAGGCTCGTTGGAAGGAAACGAGGAAATGAATTCTGGCGTTCCTGAAGAAACTTTAAACGATTACACGTCGGATAATCGATTCATAAATAAATCCTTGTGCAACGAGGATGTATCTTGCAAGGATAAAACCGAGGCAATTCAGGGTGTTAATTACGAAATCGATCCTATGGATGTAATCAAATCAAAAAGCGCAATATCAAGTACTGCCATAATCGATGCAAATAATAAAATTAAGGGGAGGAATAAGGTGGAGAACGAGAATAGGGAAGATAATAATTCCATTCGGGTGATGAATGATGATCGGATAGGAAAGAAGAATAGTTCCACGAGTTCGATCGATGTCTCGAGTGTAATAATGGAAAAGGAGATGGAGTGTCTCTCGAAGACTTCTACAAAACTGCCGGAAAGCAACTTTGAGTTAAGAAGCAATTCGTTAAGTAATTTGGATTTAAAGAATTTAAAATATTCTGGTATTGATTTAGATTGTGATCACAGGCCAGACGAGGGATCGGAAAAGGATGAAGTGTGCGCGGGCAGATGGAAGAAGCCAAAGATGGACGACATTTTCGAAGACTGCGAAATGTTTCAAAGTAGCAATGGATACATAAATCCCATATTCTCGAGTATAGATAAGCTAGAAGATCTGCACACAGTTCCTGTATACACAACCAAAGATGGAAAAATATCTTATAGTCCTAATCGAAGATTCACTTATCACGAATTGATGATGGAGGCCCGTAAACGAGACTCTTACTCTTCCGTGAAAAAATCTCATTACACGGATAATTGGAACAATTATTACAATTCTTCGAAGTTTCGTAAATTGTACAAGAGAAAGCGACACCACGGCCTTAGCGAAAGGAAGAAATACGAATATAAGAATACAAAGTACCTTTATGATAGGAAAAGAAACAATTCGGATGAATTTTACAGTAAAAATCATGTTAAGTACAAAGATTACGTTCACAGCATTAGGAACAATAATGCCGTTTGGACCGATCATTATAAAATGGATAAAATGTACAGCAGCAGTGATTCCGATGAACAGATTATGGATCGCAATAAAAATTGCATTATCGAAGCGAGTAATTGTAAGAAAGATCAGAATACGAGCAGTAAATGTGTATCTAAGAAAGATGAATCGATTGGGATCGAGAAATTAGATTTGGAGTCTAAAAATGAAGAGAATAATGGTACCGATAATTTATCGAATAAAGATAAAGATTTAGATTTAGGAGACCCGCAACCAGTTGAATTTAATATCCTTGATAAAAGTAATGAAGATTGCGAAATTACCAATTATACAAACAATCCTGATATGCAATCGAATATTGCATCAACTTCTGTAGAGTTGGATCACGAAAATGCGGGAAATAAAAAACAAAATGTGGAAAATAATGTAGATAAATGTTTAGATGATTCAGAATTGAATAACTTAAAGCCAGAACAAGAAGGAGAAAATCTTCGAATAAATGAAAATGAAAATTCGAAAAATGAATGCACTAATAAAATTATCGATAAAATTGAATTGGAAAATGAAATTATTCATGAAAGTGAAGAGAAGGAGGGTGTAAATGAGAAGGAGAGCGTAGATGAGAAGGATGAGTCAACTTCGAAACAAGAAAAATCCTCAATGAATAAAGATATGCCAGAAATTAATTTGAGCGATCTCGAAGAAGAAAAGAATGATAAAAACGTTGTTTCGGAGGGAACAGATATCAAACAGCATGAAGAAGAAATTGATGCGAATGTGTTTGATGATCAAACTCCTCCAGAAACTGAAAAGAATTTTGAAAGTATAGAGCATAGTGTAGAAATTAACAAAAATTCAGAAACTGACCAAGTTGATATATCAGAGCCTGTAATTGATGCGACAAATGAAGTTTCAGAACTTCAAGTAGAATCTAACGGATTCGATCAAATTTCGCAAGAATTTTTGAATCCGGAAAAACCAAACGACGTGTTTAATGAAATTGTCGAAAAATGTGAGAAAGATATCGGTGAAGAAAATATCTTGGATTGTGAAAAAGAAAGTGTGCAATTCATCACGGAAGTTGAAATTTCTAGTGAAAATCAAGGGCACGAAGAAGATTTGAACGAGGTAAAAGAAAAAGATGCTGAGCTTTTGAATTATAATAATGATGATAATTCGTTGAAAGATACTTCCGTTTCTGTAATGGAACAAGAGGAATCCGAATCTCAATTAATGTTGACAGATTTAACGGATCGATACATTTCTGTTGAAACGATCGAATACGATGAAAATATTAATGCAGATTCTGATCAAATAGATGACGAACAAAATTTTTCCGAAGAGCAAAATTTTGTTGGTTTTCCAGAAGATCAAATTGACATTGAAGATAAATGTATCACCGAAACTGTATCAAATAAAGGTGAAATAGAAGTTATTCTGTCAAATATAGAGGAAACTTTAGTCGAAGAAACAATAGGAAATGATGGTTTAAGGATCGAGAACGAACAAGATGATTTGCTAACTGTCTCTGAGATAAATTGCGATCAAGATTCATTAGTAGAAAAAGAAACGCTTATTTTCAATACGTATTGTGCTAACTCGCCAGGTATGGACGTTGAAATTAACAAAAATAAGACTGAAGAAGATGAATCAAAAGAAGAGAAAATTCCTCACGAAAAAGTTAATAATAAAAATTTAATTAATTCGTCGGATAGCAATACAGACGTGGAGGCAATACCCAAACTGATTATAAAGAAAGCTGACGCGTCAAATTTGAAATCAGAGTGTTCAATAGATCATACAGATTCTTCTGAAAGTTACAATAAATACGATACGAAATTATTATCTGAATTACGTCCAAAAATACCAAAGGTGATCATTATGAAAAATAGATCACGATCGGTGACTCCAACGGTTGAAATTTTAGAAAAATCTAAATATGATAAAACACAATCTTTTATTCCAGAGCAAAACAAAAATATGGATATGGATGACAAAAATGTTGAATCATATACTTTAAAATACAGTAATTACGAAAATAAAGTACCTAAGGTGAGAATAAAATTGGAGGATATATCATCGAAAGATTTGAAATTATATTTAAAACGAAAAGCTACTAAGAAGACTATTCCAAAGGTGAGAATTAAGAAACTTAAAACGCAAGAGAGTGAAAGGTTTGAGATGGAGAATAGTTCAGGGACAGAAGGAGAAGCGGAAACTTCTTCTGATGAAGAAGATACAAATTTTCACGAATCCAGCGATATGGAAAGCGAAAGAATACCAAAACTAAAATTGAAAAAACAAGAAGAAAATAAATATTTTTCACCAGAAAGAAATAAAGGAAAAGATTCGAGTATTTCCAAAATTTCCTTGAAAAAAAGCAAAAGAACAAAGGAAGAAGATTCGAAACACACTGCCAATAAGAACACGGCAATTAACGATGAATTAAAGAAGAAGTTTCCTCAATGCATTATCGAGAAAATTCCTAAGGTTATAATAAAAAGAACGCAGATTGGAACAGAATTTAAATGCGAAATTAGTAAAAGTAAAAAGACTTCAATCGCTGAAACTTCAAAATGGCAACCGAAAGTAAAATTACAAAGATTAAATGTTCTGGATTATATGGTGAAAGATTTGAAACAATCGAAAAGTATCATTGATACGGCCACTCACGTAAAGGATAATAAAGATAATGATATTAGTAATGAGGTTGCAATTGACAATAATAAAATAAAATTATCTAGATCTAATTCAGTATCCAATTTATCTCCTACTAAATGCAAACAGAGAAGATTATCAGACTCTGGTTTTATAAAAATACACTCGAAATCAATTACTGAATTCGATGATAACTTAGATGATAATATGGATGATAATATTTTCAAATCAAACAATAATGAAAGTAAAAATTTAAAGAAGAAGGAGAAGAAGAAATTATTTTCTCAAAATGAACAAATGTATTGTAATTATAATGATGAGAGCGAGGATGAAATAAAAGAGACTGTCACGAAACATTCCTTTAGAAATATTTTAACGAACGAAAACAACGATCTGATGGTTGTGAAGAAGAAATACTCATCATTTGGGACCAAGGGAAGTACATCTCTTATAGAAGATAAATTTCTAGATTCTGTCACATGTTTAGATAATAATGATAATGATAGTTCAATAATTAAAATCGATTCTTCTGATGAAAGTCAAACTACCATAGAAATTCTTCCAGCATCACCAAATAGTAGCGATGATGAACCAAAGAATTCTGAATCTGAAAATACTAGTAAAATAAACATGGTAAATGCAATCCCAACTCAATTGGAATTAGAATTGGAGCTTATTGATAACAATAATATGTATTCTGATATATTTGCATCGAAAATAGACTATGCATCGCATTCTAAAAACAAATATATTAATCAAGAATCGACTGAATCATATTTCGATGAATTTCAACATTTCTCACAAGATACTTTTGATCAAAACGATCATATCTTAATAAATAACAATCAACAATTGTATAATTCAGAAAAAGAATCAAATGATTATTTTTATTGCAATGATTTATTGGTTAAAGAAGTATTAGCTGCTAAGGAAACATTGAAGAAATGTTTGACTCGACCAGAAAACATAGATATAGAAGAAAGAAAATCGCGATTGAAAACAGTAGCTGAAAAGAAGCAAGGTTTAAGTTTCAGTTTTAACAATTTTGGAAAATCATTAGATAAATTTGAAAAAGTATGTACTAACAAAGAAAATGATGAAGTAAAAAAGGATAGAACATCTAAAAATTTAGAAAAGAAAGGACACAAATTTCCTCGTAAAATGAAAACGGAAGAAATTGAAGAAAGTTGTTCAAAACAAGATGAAAGTTTTTCTCTGGTTTGCCCTACAGCTTCCACACACGAAGAGAATAATATTTCCGAATTGACAACGATTTCGTTAAAAGCTTCTAAAAAATTTGATAAAACAACAATGAACAACAAGGCATCCCTGAATAATTCTGATCCATTACATAACAACACAAAAGAATTGCAGGAGGAAAAATCTCAGAAAAAAAACAATAGCAGCGAATATCAAAAAGAAAATGATAATTCAAATGATACAAAGACAAAAGAGGATAATATGCCATTATTAGTGCCAGAGTTTTCTTTAAATTTTGATTCCAATTCAGATAGAGATAATTCCAGATCTCCACCTGTTATAACGAATCAAGAAGAACAAATGATAGGAGATGTAAAGTTAATGGAAAGTAAAATGATAAGTCAAATTGAAAAAATAGATGAAAATAAAAAACATTCCTATAAAGACTGTGAAATGACAATTGCTGATATTATAACGCAATTAGCTTATCATGAAAAGGTATAAAAATATTTATTACTTTTAATTGCTTAATTGAATAAATTTTTATATAATTATACGATGAAGTTAATTTTAATGACTTATTACAGGCAACAATAAAACATAAAAGATATTGCAATTTGTGCGAAAGATGGTTTCCTACAACTTCACGACATCGTCGACATTTAGCTGGATATCAACATCGTTATATGGAATTGACACAACGTAAAAGTATACACGCGCTTTTTATTCTTTTTACTGGCAAACCATGTCCAAGACTTTTGCCAGCAAATATCATTCGCACTGATTGTTCTATAGGAGAATTAACACCTTTGCAAATTGCAGTTCAGGTATAATTTTATTTCATATATTTGTTTATATTTTAAATTCAAAATATGTTTACATTTTAAACTCAAAATATTTTATTTTATTGATTATTTTTTATAGGATGTTGCAAAATGTGTTGAATATGTGCAACCGGATCATAAGACAAAAGAATAATAATAATGAGTTATTATAAATTATTTTGGCTGCATAGATGATTTCCTGTGATTATATATACTGAAACAAATGATGTGAGTACCTTTGAAAAATGTACTATAATGATAAACACAAAATGAATTCTGTGACTCTTTTAATCTCAATGAAATTGTATATTTTCAATATGATTACTATTCTTGGCAATCATATTATATCATTATATAATATATATATATATATAAAAACAATGAAATTAACATCTGTGAGCTTTGCAAAAAAAGAAAGCTTTGTTGATTGATGTTAATTGTTAAGTTACTTGAAAATTACTTTAAGTAGTTAGATATTTAGCCAAAGATTTTAGCAAAAAAAAAAAAAAAAAAAAA